GTAAGTTTAGTGATTATAACTGTTGTATGTTGTGTTTGTTGTTGTTGTTTTTTTTTTTTTTTTTTTGATTGTTTTGTGTTAGTGTGGCAGACTGCAACTTGGGTTAATGCGCTAGCCCAAGAATTCATGAAGCTCGTGAAGGAGCGCAACAGCTTGCAAAAGGAAAGGGATGAGCTGTTGAAGAAGAATGGGGAAATTAAGAGGGAACTGGATATAGTGGTACCAGCAGTGACGAGCTTACAAGAGGAGAGAGATACACTGAAGATGATTCTCTCATTCGAAGAGAAGAAAAGGAAAATGTGCGAAGAAGAGAATGAAGCACAAGAGGAGGAAATAAGAAGAATGAGAGAATCCAAAGTGGAACTCAAAAAGAATGTCCAGCTATTGGTCCACAACGGGATGGAGGAGCATATCAGTAACTTTATCAACTCCAGCTCGTTTGACAACATCGTCAATCTCTACCAACTGCTGACTGCGATCCTCGCCACTGCTGACTGCGATCCTCGCCTTCGCTGATTGCAGAAAGAAGGTAAAAGTTAAGTATCCTGAAGTGGATATAACCAAGATCACCTTTGACGAACAAGAGGAAGGGGTGGAGGAAAACAGCGAAAGCATGTCAACGGATTTTCGACCTCAGGTTAAGTTGAGGTGGGATCATGATGAAGAAGGACGCGCTGTTTTTCCTCCGAACTTCGACTTCGAGTTCGTAGCAGTGGAGGAAGAGGAAGGAGAGGCAAAAGGGGCTGAAGTTGAGAAAAGTCAGCCATCTCTTCCCGTGGAGGTGCATCCAGTTCCCTCTAATGAAGAGCAGTCACCTCTTCCAGCAAAGCAGGAGCCACCCCAGCCACCTCCAGCAAAGTAGTTAGGGATTTTTATTTTTTGATTTATGTAGTTAGGATTTGAACAATGATTAGTGTACACATTTTTTGATTAATTTAGGTTAAATACCCTTTTTGGTCCCTCTACTATAGGAAAAAGCCTTTTTTGGGTCCCTGTACCGAAAAAAATCCCCTTTTTGGTCCTTACTGTTCACAAATCCGGCCCCTTTTTAGTCCTTCTGTTAAATTTTAGCCGATGTGGTAGGTTAATTAACGGAAACACTCATTCCTTTTTTTTATTAAATTACGTGAAAAATCGACGTGACAAAAATTGATGACATGCTAAATTTTTACTTTTAATTACTAATATACCCTCATCTTCTTCCCTGGCTTCTCCTTCCTTCAACCTTTTTTTTTCTTTTTTTTTCTTTTACCTCCAGGCAAACCCAAGAGCCTGGGTTCGCAAAACCTAAAAGGTAGCCATAACGAACAAACAAGGCATTACATATCCAGAAAAAACACCAAACATCAAATTACATCAGGCAGAACTCTCTCTTGCTACAATTAAACACCATTCAACCTCATCACACTCAGCTCAATACTTAATTCACGATCGTGCACTTGACTTCAAATTGTATATCAAAACTCCGAACAGAGTCAATAAAATTAATAGATATGAAGAAACCGAAACGTACCATTCTAGAGATAAGGCCCGTATTCAGTAGCGGAAAGGTGCATCTTGATGTCGTTGAGGGTCTCGCACTGGCAGAGGTTGTTGTAATTGGCGGCAGTGAGGAGGTCGGCCCTGTAGCCCAGGCTCCTGGGTGCGAACCCAGGCTCTTGGGTGCGAACCCAAGCTCCTGGGTGTGAACCTGCGAGCTGGGTTCCTCGCGAACCCAGCTCGTGGGTTCGCACCTCGCAAACCCAGGCTCTTGGGTGCGAACCCA